CATTTGGTGGCCATTGTTGAATAAACGTTGCCGATGGATCACTCCGTGCCTTTGCAAAAAACGCATGGCCATCCCGTTGTCATAAACGGGAGTTGAAAGCGTCAGAAAGTTCACTTAAGGTTTTACCTCCGAACGGAGAACATTTTTGCACAAAATTTCATCAAAATAGGTCAATGTGGTGTGCAAAAAGTGGCCGGGCTTACCTGGAAAAGATCCGGATATTGTTGTCCGTTATTAGCACAAGTTCAAAGTTTTATGATTATCTATTTTCCAGAACCCGCTTCGAAAAACAATGCGTACATCTCAGACGAGTCATGCGCTGGTCCAGTGTCATAATCCCTTGAGCATTTTCCGTTCCGAATTTCCCACACGTCGTAGCGCCCTACAAATGGATCATTTATGATACTCTACCAACATTTAGGCGGCCTCGGATTGGGAACCTACCCTCCACCTGTGCCGGTCCGAAAATCACACCAACCATCCGGTTCACCTATCGACCGGTCGCATGATCCAGCTTCAACAAGTGACCACGTGCTTGCCCAGATAACCCAAACGAGAAACCAGCCCTTGTTTACAGTCGTGAGTTGTCGACAGGACCAAGGAAATTGGACTGTGCAGCAGGTGTGCCATCACTGGGTGATACACATCCCCTCAAGCAGAGCCTCCTCTCTCCTTCCCTTTCAGGCTTCACCCGGCTTCCCAACAATCCAGTAATGTTCCTTAAACGGTGACTGACCTCCGCCCCGTTGTTTAAAGTTACTTGTTCGTTGTTATCGAATTTATCGACCTCTTATGAATCTATCAATTGATTCAGTTCTCATTTGCTTCCGGGCGTTGCACGTTCTGTTTTCGGGTCGTTGGCGATAGCGGTGAGTTGCACAGAGTCCGTACTGTGAGTAATCTTTTTCGCCCGCTTCATTACAGAGGTAGCTGCTATTCGACTTTACAAGCCCGATTTTTGTAAACAGACCGAATTGTTAGCCAGGTTCGCACTGCCCTGTTAGATATCACCGTCCTTCCCACACCCCTGCAGTGATCACCCTCCCTGCACGTATGCCGATGCGGTTCGAATTAGTGACCTTTAACCTTCGTATGGATTATTTTCTCTTCCCGTTTGTTTGAATGTCCTTAAACCTGTCACTTTTTTACTAAAGTGATCATAATGTATGTACACAGGTGATGAGATTACCACGAAGTAGGAGAGTCCAACACATCCTGTGATCACGATGCTTCTACTTGCTCTGAAGAAAATGTTAAACCGAACTGCCCACATGAAAGATTGTACTACCAGTTGTCTCTTAGGTGTAAATCCTGCCTCAAATAGCGCGCAAGTCTCACCGAATCGTTCTCCACCGGCCGAACTCCTTCCTCGTCTTCGATGTCTATTCCAATTAGCCACATTTATTGTGCGTACGCCGATGCATATAGCAAAATAGGCGTATTTATCGCGTACGCTCGAGACTCTAGCTAGCGATGTGTTGTATCCAAGAGACTCGCATTCAAGACTCCAGCTCCATTATCCGATGGACGTCCCCATCAAACCCATCAGTTAAGTTTCACTTATGCCTCTCTGGGAACTCGGAGGCTGCTGCTTCCGGTCTTGCTAGCGTTGCCGTGACTCTCGGTGAAAGAGCTGAAGCCGCGTTCCTGGACTGGTTCCCCAGTCGACTGGTTGTGCGCAGCGAAAATTAGAGCTTCGTGCAAAGTAAACAGTAATCACCCCGATAGACGAAACCTGTTTGTCGTGTCGGCGTACGCCCTAACGGACTGCAGCTAAGATGCAGTCAAAGATGAATTTTACCATGCATGATCTACACAACCTCCTGCGTAAAGCGAGTCGGGCTGATGTCGTGATTTTAGCAAGATATATGAATGCTAGAGTAGGTCGGCTGACTTGGAGTGAGGCGCATCTGGGAGGTCCTATCGGACTAGATTCACGCGGAAAACGGCCGTTGGCTCCATTTTCCGATCAACTCCTATTTCTCACCAGTACGAGCTCCAGAAAATCCAACTACCGGCACGCTACATGGCGTCCGCCCTCCTCGTGTCAGCGACGAACGCAGATCGACCGCAAATGGTGGGGCTGCATACAAGACTGCCAATCGTGCTAGATCACTCCCTTCGAATCCAATCAAGCATTAGTTTGCACCAAGCTGTTTATGTGCACCGGTGGGGCGCTTTAAATGCACAATACAGCGACCGTTGGACTGCGATAAGCTGTCAGAACCAGCTCATCTAACTGGCATTCAAGTTATCTGTCCCACAGTCATAGTTCACAGCTTCAGTTTTATATCACACAATTTAGTCGACTTGGGTTGCGATGAACCTGGACTTGCTCTGCCTATGTGAGCGACTGATTTTATCACTCTCGGCAAAAGCAGAGCTATATATTATCGACCGCGTCTCCAGGTCACGGATAGGAGAAAGGCCGCCAACTGGTGGTTAACCGTGAATAAGGTGGGTTTAGGCTCATTGAATAAGCGGTCGCAGACGATCAGCGACAGTGCTTGAGGGTTTGGTTGGTTAACCACATGTTAAATTTTCCCCACCTAAAACAACACGTGTATCTTCTGACAGTGTTGTAAGCCACCACTAAATATGGCCATCGACCCCTTGCCGAGTTTTATCTACCCGATAAGGGTCTCTAGAAGAAACGAATGAATGAACCAACCAACCGGTCACCGGCCCACCTGGAACAATGCTGCTGCCTTGTAGCTCACGCTTGTTTACGCGAAGGTTACAGTGCACCCTCAAGCAAGGCCTACTCTGGGCTGGGTGGCAGAGTGGTACAACAGCCCACCAAATAAAATACGAACTTTCCGTTGTTCAAGAATTTGCACCTACAGCTTTCCTCAATCAAGGAAGGTCAACCTACATCGTACACATCTTCCTCTTTTCCAATTTTGCCTCCCCTCACATACATCTCCCTCGAATATTTCTAATTCAATCAGGGTCTTTCGACGATCGTACTAATGCATGTCGGGCGATTGGACTGGATGGACCCGTTAGACGCCGAATTCTACGGACTAGCGGGTGCAAGTTTCCGGCCGACATATACTGGACTGCAAACGTGATAAAACCGGGGAAGCCTATCGTATCCCACTTCACCAGAAGGGCTCGCGGTGTGATGGAACCGAAAGTGCACTGGGTGATACACATCCCCTCAAGCAGAGCCTCCTCTCTCCTTCCCTTTCAGGCTTCACCCGGCTTCCCAACAATCCAGTAATGTTCCTTAAACGGTGACTGACCTCCGCCCCGTTGTTTAAAGTTACTTGTTCGTTGTTATCGAATTTATCGACCTCTTATGAATCTATCAATTGATTCAGTTCTCATTTGCACCTCATTTGGGTTCCGGCAGGAAGGCTTTTGGTGTGAACAAAGGGTTGCATCCAGCTGATGGCTCGCTTATTCACAATCAACAGCGAAGTCTTACAGGCTGCGCGGAGCACTTCAAAGCAGTTTAGCTGGCCACTGGCGTCAACTTCTGACATAGCCATTCCAGCACACGTCCCATGGTTCGTTTCAGCAGATCCTCCTTTCTGAGGTGGGTGTCCCCAAGGAGGTCCATGCTTTGGGACGTCACAAAGCGCCGGGCTCCGATGACGTTTTCCCAGCTCTATTCAAAGATGGTGGAATAGAGCTTCTTAGAGAACTGGTGACTCTGTCGTCTAAAGTTTGACACATTGAGCGGCTACCATCGTCGTGGTGGGGAATCGATTGTCGTTCCCATTTTCAAAAAAGGCTCCGTGCAGTGACTGCGCCAATTGTAGAGCTATAAGCCTGATAGCGCCAAAGCTTTTGGCATTCCTCGTTTTTCGCCGATTGTACAAGACGCGTGAGAATCATAGCCACGAGGATCGGGCTGGGTTTCGCACTCGTCGTAGATGCATCGTTGAAATCTCCGTCCGACAGCTGCTAGACCACCATCGTGCCTATCAAAGACCAACAATCGCTGTGTTCTTAGACATCCACGCGATCTTGGACAGCATCGATAGGACCGCACTATGACACTGTTTGGTGAGGAATGAAGTGCCTGAGAAGTCCGTATCGACCTTTAAAAGGTTGTCGTCATAACTCAGGTCGGGTTAGGACCAATGGCCACTGCCTTGGTAGTCCGGCTTTGGCTAGCCGAGGGCACCACTAGAAAATTCACCTACCTTGGCCAGGGCAACGTGGCAGTATCGCACCCACAAAAAATCATGGAACCTGTTTCTTTTTTATGCAGATTATTTTACTGTGATTTGTACGATACACAGTTTGGATTAGGACGTGTGATATATATGCGGCGCAACTGAAAAAAATGTTTCATTCATTTGTTCTCCTCTTTCTCTGTTATCACATTCCTTGCATCAATCAGTACCCTTGACTACCTTTTATTACTGTTTTTGCGGTGTGGAATATACATACATATGTTTCCCATTTTCCGTGTCGCATTTCGAAAAAGGTAGTTTGAGAGAATTGTGGTACACCTTCTGTGAATAGATTACATCATAGTCTATTTTGTTTTATTGAAGAATGGTAGGTATCGACGATGCACCGCTCATATAATCTGGCGCAGGAAAGTAGATTGGAAAGTGACTTATGTTGCGATAGGAAGAAGAGCGGACAAAATGTCTATACTTAGTCTAGTTGTGGATGGCTGAAAACCGTGCGGTAAGGCTTGTAGTTAATGAAATACGTGAAGGACTTCGGGAAGACAGTAAAATATTAACAAATAACCCATCCTAAAACAAGAGAAATGAATTATTAGTAACTTAAACTGAGACGTTCGCTAATTTAATTGTTTTGGAAAGAAAAGAAAACAACAAATCACTTGGTTACATTCCTCTTCGAGTCCAAACAAAACAGTCATGATAGAACGTGCACGATTAGCTTCCTGTCCACAGGGAAAAGTTACGAGTCAAATTGTGAGAAACATTCCTGGAGATCTGAGCGCCCTGTGTGCATATCGCGGTAGAGTGGCTCAAGATGGGTCAGATAATTCCATGCAACTGAATGGATCACCGTACAGTTCCGAATTTAGCCGCAACTAAATCCAGCCGCGACGGGAAAATGGAACTTAATTTCGAGGCGGACTCGGAATCGACAACACGTACCGGACGGACCAGAAGCGCATTTTGTGGAACCACCAGATCACGCTTTTTGGTCAGTGCATCTGGTGTGCCATCAGGTGCCGTGTCCGTCGCATCCGCATCCATTGCAGGTAACGGAACAGACTCACTGCGTGGAGCGGCCGAGGGTGGAGAGACGGTATGTGTTAGCAACCAAGCTATCACGGTCTCCGCGAATTCTTTGCATACATCTAACTGGACTCCCGTAACTTCGATAAGTATATTGGTAGTTTTGGTGGTCAGCTGGTTGGAGGAAAATATAACAGATTAATATGTGGTGACCGTATTAATCAGAAAAAAAAGAAACATTCAAAATGAGAAAACAAATTGACATAAAACTGGCAAATCATCACCAAGTAGCATGAACACTGCTAAACCGTCCAACCAGTTTGGTAGCGTCACATAGTTTAAACACCAGCCCCTTTAATGACTCACCGAATAATGCCGTGAACCGTAAACGGGGTCAAATGAGTGGACTTATTCGGGTCATCGACCACCAACAACAACATACAGGGATGCATCATGCTCTGTCAACATAGCATTCGACGGAGGCCCCCCGTAAACGGTATGCATCAGNTCGCGCCACAATACGCCAGATAACTTTCGACAATGGCATGTGTACGCCAATGATAGGCAACCAATTAGTAAACGTGAAATCCCGGGAATCGCCCGTAGGCTACTTTTTCGCCCTGTCGTTCACATCATTTGTTACCCGGATCTCTGAGCTAAGAAATAACATATCCCTCTTCATCTTCGTCTTGAAGTCTCGTGTTCTGCAGACTCCTCTGTTTGACCCAGAAAGCAGTCGAGTGAAACTCCTCTCGGGGAACAGTTTTTGAACTGGCATACGCAGATGCCCTGCAGAGTAACGTTGTACAACCATTTCAATACGGTTTGAGCCGAATGGCGATCGAAATACAAACTACTCGTACTTGGGAGCCAGTACTTCCATGAATCAGATAGGAATAGTCGAGGGCTTCAGCATAGATGGATTTGGCGCTGAGGAAGAGATCACACCAGAATAGCAAACTCTAAAGTAGCTGCCGACAACCTGCAACACTAGTGATGCCACTGTGATATCCCGTTTACCCGTGAGTGGGTGTGCATTGCCGCAATTAGTGGTAGCTTGCTTTACGACTGTGAGTCCTGACCTATCCGCTCCGTGGATGCTAAACGACTTTCTGCATCCCGCCACAGAAGCATTGCTCGGGTCTATTGAGAACGGTGGGTAAGTAATGACGGGATTGGTTCCCGTGTATAAATCGCTGACAACGGTTTTTTGAAAGAGAAAACTGCTCTAGATCCACTTGGATTGTTTGGTTGCTGTTTTAAACGAATTCTCAACGTCTACTTATCCGTGCTTCCTTTGCACGAATTGGTCAGACATGACTGAGGTTAGAGACATTAACAGCAGTGGCTTCGATTGGCGCAGTCCACCTAGGATGGGGCCCAAGATTGATCAGGACAAGCTGAGAGATATAGCCAAGAGCGGAAATCGGTGGGGCGAATGTTGCAAGGTCTGTTGAAATCTGGCGGCCAACAAAGAAAAAAACACAAAACAGACAAGAAAACATCCGTGTATGGCGAAGCAAAAATACTGCTGATCTTGTTATTTGTAAAAACGATTCCGTTGTTTTACCCATCTATGAAAATGTTTCAGTGCACCGCATGGTACCCCTTTGTAACTCTGATGATCTTTTACAGTTTGCTTATAATCCCGTTTTGTTCAAACTAGACGCGTCGCCCATATTGCTCATTCGATTGCATCCGTCTTAGACAAAGGTGCAGGTCCCGATTGTGTAACTTTTCTTAAGTATGCAAACGCCTTGGATTCTCCCGAGCAGAGTGCATCGTCTTCCTGAGTGTGGTCTGACACCTGAAGTTTTAAATGTACTAATCGACTACTACTCCTGCAGGACCCCGTTTACTTCATTTACTGGGGCACAGTCGTCTTCTACTAACATTGAAGCTGGTATTTTTCAGGGTGCTTTTGTCCCCCTTCTTTTGTCCTATCTATATATAGAATCTCCCCATTCCTAGTAACTTTACTGCTTGCAAGTATGACGATAATATTGTGATTGGTTGTCCATCCCCTGGTTCAAACAGTTTTCGACCTTTCCAGGATAGCCTTAATGAACTTTACGATTGGTCTGTGCTCCAATCGTGTATATGTTATTACATTTCACATACGTTTGACGCCAGAATGTGCCAAACAAATCATGGTACAATAATCTTTATAGAAAGAAAAGCGTTCCGTGATTTGCATGTGAGCGGAATACTGTCATGTTGCCCAGACCAAGGTAGGTGAGTTTTCTTGAGGAATCCACAACCGGAGCCGTCGGCTAGCCGAAGCCTGACCCGCAAGGCAGCGGGGCCGTGTGCGAAAATCGTAATCAATTGGGGGCCGGTGTCCACTCCATCGCATCATACGCCCTTTGGATGCGGTAAAACGTCCAAAGTGCCCAATCGAGCCGGTGACCACAGCCACAACCAGAATATTGTGTGGTTCGTACGCCTATTCTTGGTTGGTTTGGAACCCGGGATTTCGGCCAACTCCCCTAGGTGAGCTACCAGTGGTTCACAAACCTTTGTATAGCCCCGGATGTCGGCCTTTCATTCTCTCACTTTGGTGGGAAACACCTTAGCGAGAAGGTAATGAGTAGGGCTTTCTCAGCAGAGGTTATTTGGGACGCTTAGTCGTATGGGAGCATTTCGCGAGATGCAAAGGAAGGGTGACCAGCCACAACCCCAGACTATACTGAAGTTTTCGGAGGTCCGATCTCTTGTACATAACATCGATAAGCTCATCAAAGTTTAATTTATTTTAAAAACCGGCCCCCGTTTTCTTTTATTAGCGAATCATCTCCCTCATCTTATAGTTAGTATCAATGCATCCGAAAATCGGCTTCCGTTAAATACCCTGGTGTCACACTCACCCATAATCTCTCCTGGTCTGCTCGTTTCATCAGAGTTTTGACAAAAGTTCGAAAACTGTTTTTTTATGCACACAGGCTCAGGAAACTGGCCGCACCACGTAATCTTAGTCCTAAATTTTTGATTGCCGATGTTCTTCCACACCGACTATATTTCTCCCCAATAGTTATACCTGGTGTGAAAGAAAAAGACTACACTTTCATTTTGTTTTCTAGATCCCTTAAACTTTTGCCCCGCTACAGTGGAGTTGATAGAGTACTTTTGGTTGATTTCTTTATTTCCAAGCAGCTTGAAGCTTGTGATAAATTTATTGATAGAATAACACGTGAACAAGGACACTGTCTGGACCGAGAAATCGTGAAAGCAGTGAGGAATCCCCGAACTCGTTCCAAATATCAAGTCCTCTCTGAGCGTACTTCCACTGAGTAATTGAATATGTTGCTCGGCTGTTACTTATTCGGAAGACAACTGTCATCCACCTCAGGGAAAACTTTTGCACTGATTTTCCTCTCATTTACTACAGCATAGAATTTCTGTTATTACTTTGTTGTTGATCGCAATTGGTTTCAGGTATCAACTGTACAAATTCGCAAATTGCTGAAAATTCGCCCAAGATGTTCACGAGGCATCGAACCACCTCAATGTACCGTTTCTTCATGATCATGGACGCTGTACATGGAGCTGAACAAATAAAAAACCATCCCTTGAAAAATTCTTATCTGTGGTTCG